TCTAGGATTTTGATGGATTCCTGTCTCACATTGAGGTCTTTCATCCATTTTGAGTTTATCTTTGTGTAGGGTGTTAGAGAATGGTCGAGTTTCATTCTTCAGCACGTGGCTGTCCAATTTTCCCAGCACCATTTATTGAAAAGACTGTCTTTTTTCCATTGCATATTTTTTCCTGTTTTGTCGAAGATTATTTGACCATAGAGTTGGCGGTCCATATATGGGCTCTCTATTCTCTTCCATTGGTCTATATGTCTGTTTTTGTGCCAGTACCATGCTGTCTTGGTGATCATTGCTTTGTGATATAGCTTGAAATCGGGCAACGTGATGCCCCCAGCTTTGTTTTTCTTTTTCAACATTTCCTTGGTGATTCGGGGTCTTTTCTGATTCCATACAAATTTTAGGATTGTTTGTTCCAGCACTTTGAAAAACGTCATTAGAATTTTGATCTGGATGGCATTGAAGGTATAGATTTTAACAATGTTTATTCTTCCGATCCATGAGCATGGAATGTTTCTCCATCTTTTTGTGTCTTCTTCAATTTCTTTCATGAGTGTTCTGTAGTTCCTAGAGTATAGATCCTTTACCTCTTTGGTTAGGTTTATCCCAAGGTATCTTATGGTTTTTGGTGCTATTGTAAATGGAATCGTTTCTCTAATTTCTACAGTTGCATTTTTAGTGTGTAAGAAAGCAACTGATTTCTGTGCATTGATCTTGTATACTGCCAAATTACTGAATTGGTGTATGAGTTCTAGGAATTTGGGGGTGGACTCTTTTGGGGTTTCCACATAAAGTATCATGTCACCTGCGAAAAGAGAGAGTTTGACTTCTTCTTTGCCAATTTGAATACTTCTTATTTCTTTTTGTTGTCTGACTGCTGTTGCTAGGACTTCTAGTAATATGTTGAACAATAGTGGCGAGGGTGGACATCCTTGTCATATTCCCGATCTTAAGGGACATGCTCTCATCTTTTCCCCATTGAGGATGATATTTGCTGTGGGTTTTTCATAGATGGATTTTATGAACTTGAAGAATGTTCCCTCTATCCCTATACTCTGAAGAGTTCTAATCAGGAAAGGATGCTGTATTTTGTCAAATGCTTTTTCTGCATCAATTAAGAGGACCGTATGATTCTTCTCTCTCTTATTAATGTGTTCTATCACACTGATTTCTTTGTGAATGTTGAACCACCCTTGCATCCCGGGGATAAATCCCACTTGGTCGTGGTGGATGAAACTTTTGATGTATTGTTGGATCCTATTAGCTAGGATTTTTGTTGAGGATTTTGGAATCCATATTCATCAGGGATGTCAGTCTGAAATTCTCCTTTTTGATGGGGTCTTTGCCTGGTTTGGGGATTAAGGTAATGCTGGCCTCATAGAATGAGTCTGGAAGCTTTCCTTCTGTTTCTATTTTTCGAAACAGCTTCCGAAGAATAGGTATTATTTCTTCTTTGAATGTTTGGTAGAATTCCCCAGGGAATCCATCAGACCCTGGACTCTTGTTTTTTGGGAGGTTTTTGATCACTGCTTCAATCTTGTTATTGGCTATTGGCTTATTCAGGTTGTCAGTTTCTTCATGTTTCAGTCTTGGGAGTTTATAGGTTTTCAGGAAGACATCCATAATAAATACAATTCATAATAAAAATGAAGGCAAAACAGAAGAGAATAAAGAACATAGGAAATGATGGACAAATAAAAATCAAATAGTAGATTAGATAGATTTAATCCTAAATACATCAACAATTATATTAAATACAAATAGACAATTCCACTTTACAGACAAAGATTAGCAGAGTGCTGCATTTCCCAAACTGTGGGCTGATGTGCCCTGGGAGCCTCCAGGATCTCACAGGAGGCCTATGGGCTATTTTAAATTTTTGATGGAAATAGCCATACTTGGTATCTCTCAGATACTGTGCTCCCCGTAGCTCCTGGCTACATTCGATGGCAAGAGATTCCTTTTATTTTTTTTTCAGTAGGTTCCTCTGAGGACAACAAATCTTTGCAAAACTGGGTTTTTAGCAGTGACTGTGATAAAGTCTCAAATTAAAATTACTATAGAATAAGAAATGAGGTGGTGGTTTACAATTCAATTCTAAGGTTTGAGAAGTTGAACAGTGCTCCACATCCCATTGTTAAGAATTGTGGACAGGGTCACCTGGGTGGCTCAGTTGGTTAAGTGGCTGACTGCAGCTCATGTCATGATTTCAGGGTCCTGGGATCAAGCCCTGCACTGGGCTCTGCACTCAGTGGGGAGTCTGCTTGAGATTCTCTCTTTCCCTCTGCCCCTCATCCCACTCATGCACGCTCTCTCCCTCTCTCCCTCCCTCAAAACAAAGGAATAAAGCTTAACAATAAAATCAAAAGCTCATTTCTAAGATCATTACTAAGAGAAGCAATCATTTTAACATTGTTAAAGTGTTCTTTTTCTTTGATCACATCTGTGAAGCATACTGGAGAAAAAGAGGAAGGAGAATAGAAGTTTCTCCCTTAACTTGGATGTCACTGTGGTCTTGGCCTCCAGGTCAGTGCAAAGCCCCGGAACATCTTCCATTTGCCAAGCTTACAGTTCTGACCAACGAGTATGAGTTTCCCATTGGGACATCTTTGAAGTATGAGTGCCGCCCTGGTTACTACAGGAAAGTATTCTCTATTACCTGCCTATCCAACTCAGTCTGGTCAAACGCTGACGACGTCTGTCAACGTAAGTACCTCTGGACAGAGAACTCCTCTGTGTCAATCAAACAACCATAAGAGCTGATTCAATTGTTCAGATCTTGGAACTTAGACACCTATGACTTGTTAAGTTTGCCTCAAGTAGAGCACATGTGAGAGGGATTCTTTCTGTCACATCTTCCTACCCCTCTGTCTTGCTGGCACCTTCATTACAAGTCCATTTCATGAGAAATGACCATCACAAGGCACGATGCAGGGAAAATCTCCATTCAGTAGGGGTTTCCTATTGTCACCACTGAAACTAGGTCATATGACTCGGAAGAGGGAAGAAAAGTGTAAGTGGGAAAAGAATCCGACTTTGAGATCTTTGACTTACACTGGTTGAATGACAAAAGAATCACTTTGGTAATAAGTGAAGTCTACATTTATCTGGGAGACACAATACCGGGATCAGATAGATTTGGAGGGGTGGTCTTTTTTGAAAGGCGAGCTTAGTAAGTGGCTGACCCCGAGGCAGTCTTGTAAGTTTCTTCAAGGTGGCAAAATCTGTGGAACTACAAATGCTTTTCTGTAAGCTCCAGCTAGGTTGGGGCTTTATGTACTTACTGAGAGAAGTTTGGGGTGTTCTATACTCAGTCCCCAAATTCTTCTTCTCTCCTATAGGTAAATCATGTGGAACTCCTCCAGAACCCTTAAATGGCAAAGTGACTGTAAACAGAGACACCCGGTTTGGATCAACCGTTAATTATGCCTGTAATGAAGGGTGAGTTGGCAGCAGCATCACTTGGGATGACAGTTCCAGAATTGTAGCACCAATCCTTAAACAAGAGTCTTAGAAAATCTACCTGTCCATTCAAAACACAGCAATAAGATTTCTAAGTAGAGGTGATGGCTTGAATTCAGTCAGGTATTTAACTACATTTGAAATGACTACACAAATATTTGAAAAATAGGAAAAACCTGTATCTGTGCTAGAAACTTGGGGGTGTGGAGGAAAGATACCTATTGCACACCAAATTAATGCACCTAAAACCTAAAATAGGAAGGACCGGCTCTCTAAAGAAGCAAATGGAACAAACATTAGTGGATCTGTGCATATATTCTTACTCCAAGGCAACAAGAACTGGAGATGGTAGACTCAGAGTGGGAAAGAATGACTTGTTTAGGATGATGGAGCCAAGGTGGTGGAGAGGCAAATCTTGATTGTTATAGCCCCTCTCCAGAAATGCACACAGTGCAGAAATTTGCTGTGGGCATATTGTTGGCTTATCCTTAAGGGAGATAACCAATTCAGGAAAGAAGTAGGGAGAGTGCTTTACCTTATATCTTAATTTTGCTTTGTTTTTATTCTTTATGGCTTACTTAAAAGACATATAATATAAATAAGTGATCATTAAAAACAGGAATAGCAATAAAGTGAACTTCATTGTATATGCTATCCACCTTAGGAAACACTGCTAGTACCTTAGAAGCCTCCTATGTGCCCTTCCCAGTTCCCATTCCTCCACCTCCAGAATCTCTCTGGAAATCACCATCCTGAATTCTGTGTCCTTCACTCCCTTGCATTTGTTTTCCATTTTCTCCCATAAATAGTCCTACTCAGTTTAGATTTAGCTTTACATATTTTGAGCTTTATATAAATGGCATGATATTATATGCACTTCTCGGCAACTTGCTTTTCTATGGAACATTTTGTTTCTGACAATTATCCATGTGGCTATGGTTAATTCATTTTTGCTTGGGATAGCATTTCCTTGAATGGATATACCACAATTTACTTTTTCTTGGTTGTTATATTTGGACTGTTTCTCATTTCTTTTACTGTGTTTTGTTTTGGCTATCATAAGCATTCTCAATATAAATACACATGTCTCCTAGTGCCCATGTGAAAAACTTTCTCTAGGACGGTGGTTTTCACACTAATTTTGCTATGATCCACAGCTAAGAAATATGTTTTACAATATATATACACACTCCCACACATACACATCACACACACATTTATATAAATTAAAGTATCAAAAACTTCTCACCATTTCTAATTGACATTGTACTGCAGGTTCAAGCCAGGACAATTCATCATGAAAAAGAAACAAAAGGCATCCAAATTAGAAGGAAGAAGTAAAACAATCTCTGTTTGCAAATGATGTGTTTTTTATAGAAAATCCTAAGGAATGCACACACACACACACACACACACACCATAAAACCCATTACAGCTAATAGATAGTTCAGCAAGATTCAGGATACCAGATCAATATTCAAGATTAAATTGCATTTCTATACACTAACAATGAACACTCTGAGAATGAATTAAGAAAGCAATTCCCCTTACAATAACATCAAAAAGAATACAATAACTTCAAAATAAACTGAACCAAAGAAATGTAAGATTATACACTGAAGATTATGAAACATTGTTGAAAACAAAGTCAAAGAGGATCTAAATAAATGGAAACACATCCCATATTCCGAGATTGGATGACTTAATATTGTTGACATTGCAACAATATTGAATATTATAGAATTATAGAATATTGATCTCACCAAAGTGATGTGCAGATTTAATACAATGCCTATAAAATTCTAGCATCCTTTGGCAGAAATCAACAAGCTGATACTAAAATTCTTATGACAATGCAAGGCACCCATACAGTCAAAACAATCTTGAAAAAGAAGAATTCTCACTTTCAAACCTTACTCTAAACGTACAGCCATGAAGAGTGTGTGTTACTGGCGTAAGGACAGATGTATAGATCAATAGAATAGAATTGAGAATCCAGAAGTAAAGCCATACATTTATGATCAACTCTTTTTCAGCAAAGGGTGCCAGGACAATCCAATGGTGAAAGAACAGTCTTTTCAACAGTCTTTTGTGTGTACACTTAGAGTCCTATTATATGTTTAATATAACTGCATTGCTTTTTTATTATTTACCCACTCTGTTTAAATCTTTTTACTTTTTACTTTGCTGTATCAGTATGTGTTAGGTGAGTCTCTGATAAACAACTTCTAGTTAGATTTTCTTAATCCACTTTGATAATCTCTGCCTTAGAACTAAAGAGTTTAATCCATTTGCTTTTAATGTAACTACTAATATTTAAAATTAATGTCTACCATCTTATTTTGTGTTTTCTATTTATACTATATTTATGTTTTCACACTTCCTTCACTTTGGTGTTGATTAGGTTTTATATTCTTTTTCCATTATTTCCTTCACTAGTTTAGAAATTAGGGTCTCTATTTCTATTAGTTTAGAAGTTACCCTGGAAATTTTAACTTGTATACTTTAAAAATTCTAAAGTTAATCACTATATTTATCTCCCTCCATGCAATACATGATGTAAGAAAATTTTAACAAATTTGAATTTCCAAATATATTCAATAGTACATTGAATTTCTGTAATCACATTTATTTATGAATTTATGTAATAAATATAGAAAGCTAGAAGTTAAGGGAAAAAATTAAAGGGCTAGCATTGTAGTCAAATGACTCAATCTTGACCTAAAAAATGAAGAAAACAAGTTCATATGTATCTTAATTGATTTAACCCAGTAGGATAATAATTTTTAAATATAATTTCCAACTGAACAGACAAGTATAGAAAAATTAATCTATTTAGGAGAAGGGCAGCTGCTGTCCTTGTTATATGTAATATCTCTTTACACAAAAGACTGTAAGATGGACTCTAAGCCCCAGTCACCCAAAGTATGGCTCACAGACCAGCAAGGTCAGCATCTCCTGGGCGCTTGTTAGAACTGCAGAATCTTCACACCTACTGAATCAGAACTGCATTTTCACATGATCCCCAGGTGATTTTGATGCACATAAAACTTTTGAGAAGTCCTGCCCTAAACTAGAACTAGGCTAATTTCTGTAAGGTAGGGTTTGGGTAATTTTGTTTTTCACTACTGGGAGTCTCTGTACCTCTCACTTTCGACTACAGTGTAAATGTATTAACTTTTGTAATCACAATTCAAAGAGGTATTACTAGAACTTCCAGTTCCAGGACAAGATGGGCAGACTCACTTTTCCCTGAGTCTCTCTCTACATGTAACTAAATACCCTACAAACTATTCAACATGCAAGCATAAAAGGACTTGGAAAGGTGGAAAGAAGATGGACTGGGGGTCCACGGAACTTAAAGAATGACACAGTAGTAAGGTCCCTGGATTTTCTTTTTATCTCTCAGACTGGGTGCTGGAAAGGAATGCAACCCCAAATAGTCAACAAGCAGCAGAGACAGAGGAAGAGAGAAGCCTATTCTCTGGTCATAGGACTGGGAATAGGGTAGCACAGTGAGGATGTATTGGGAAGACACATTGATGGCTCTAGTGGCCCAATCTACCCACATGAACAGCATAAGCAGAAATCAGGGGTGGGGACTGGGAGTCTATCCTTCTCATGTCCACAGCCCTGGGAAGCAGCAGATCCCAGTCCACCAGCAGTTGTATCAATGGGAGGACCTGGACTTTAGTCTCAATGACAATTTTACCTCCTGCCCCATACCAGCCAGCAGCAGGGGGCCCTATTCTGCCTGCAGTGACAGTGTCAACAGAGCTCGGGTGGTGACACCTAGGCTTCAAGCCAGCAGTAAGAGGGTCCTTCCACTCACACCACAGATGCCAGAAGACCCAGTGTCCCAGCCCTCCACACAGCAGAAGAACACATTGCAGGCCCAATGTCTCTTGACCCTACACCCATGGCAGGGAGCCACCAACCCAGCAGCAGAAGGGAAACCATGTTCAGAGTTTCTGGATGCTCCATCCAGTAGGAGACAGCCTCCCACACCCATGTCTCCTGGTTCTATGCCCAGAAGCAAAATGCAGCCCAGATAGATGCTTCCCACGCCTGGTGGCAACAACACAAATGAAGGGGGAACTCCACCCTCCCCAGATAGCCAGAGGAAGCCAGATAGGTTACTCTCCATCGAAAGTCCCAACATCTCCCATTCCTCACTACTGACACCAGGCAGTTCAAGGAAGCACCTCCACTGTCTACAGGCAGCATTAGCAGGGATGCATTGGGAATTTAAGTGGAGCCATGAGAATGAAGCACCAGAATAGCACTGCAAGAGTGGAAAATTAAATGGTCATTGGAACCAAAGCCCACAAAAGTAGGCCAGAATCTACACACTACCCTAAAGAGGGTGGTTACACACTAAAACAGATGTAAATAAGATCAAGAGTGACTTAACATCATATCCAATAGATACAATAGATACAATAGAAAATCACGTCACATCAAGAACCAGGGAAATCATAACTCGACTGAGAAAAGATAATCCACTGATGCCAGTACCAAGAGGAAGGAGATGTTGGAACTCTCTAACGAAGATTTTAAAGCAGCCATCATGAAATAGCTTCAGTAAGTAATTACAATTTCCCTTGAAAAAAATCTTAGAGGCAACCAGAGAGAACGGACATGCTGCTTATAGGGGAACACAATATGAATGGCGGTGGATTTATTATCTGAAAGTATGGAGACCAGAAAGAAGTGGCCCACCTAGTTCAAGTACTGAAAGAAAAGAACTTACTAACTGTGAATTCTGTCTCTGTAAAATTAGTAATTGCATACCTGGAATAAATCCCAGTTGGTCATTGTGTATGATCCTTTTTATATACTGCTGGACTTGATTTGCTATAGTTTATTGAAGATTTTTTTAGCATCTATAAAATATTAGCAAATCAAGCCCAACAATGCATTAAAAGAACTGCATCCAATGACCACAGTGGAAATTACTCCAGGTATGCAAGATGGATTCAACATTCAAAAATCAATCAACATGATCAACTCTATAAACAGGCTAAAGAAGACAATGTATATGCTCCTATCAATTGACTCAGAAAATGCAGTTGGCAAAATCCAATACCAACCAGTTCATGACACAAACTCACAGCAAGTTAAGAATAGAATTGAACAAGTCTGAAATCAAGGTGTCAGCAGGTTGGTTCCACTGGGAGCTCTGAGGAAGAATCCATTTCATGCTTTTCTCCTCACTTCTGGTGGTTGCCAGCTGTCCTTGGCATCCCTTGGCTATAAACACATCACTCCCATCTCTGCCTCTGTTCTCACATGGCTTTGCCTCTGTATGTGTTGACATTGTCTTTCCTCTGTCTGTCTCCCTGTCCAAATTTCCTTCTTCTTCTGAGGACACCAGTCATTGGATTAGGACCTGGGCTAATCTGGCAGGACCTCACTTTAACTCTTATTTCCAAAAGAAGTCAGATTCTAAGGTTTCAGGACAGAAATTTGGAGGCACACTATTGAACCCGATATGGACATGAACAGACATTTCACTGAAGAGAATATATCGATGGAAAGTAAGTACATGAAAAGATAATCAGCTTCATTAGCCATTAGGAAAATGCAAATTAAAACAACAAAAAACAATAGTACACACATATCTGAATTGCTAAAATACAGCCTAGTGAAAACATCAAATGCTAGCATGGATGTAGAGGAACTGGATCACTCATTCATTGCTGATAGGAACATAAAATGGTAAACCCACTCTGGAAAACAGAAATGAGCTATCAAGCCATGGAAAGACATGGAGGAAACGTAAAATTATTTTACTAAGTGAAAGAATCCAATCTGAAAAGGCTAAATACTGTATGATTCCAGGAAGGTGGCATTCTGGAAAAGAAAATACAAATTAAAAAGATTGGTAGTTGCCGGAGGTTGGGAGGAGGGAGAGAGGAATAGGCAGAGCTCAGAAGATGTTGAGGGCAGTGAAACTACTCTGTGTGATAGATACCATAAGGGTGGATACATGTCCTTATATATTTGTCCAAACCCATAGAGTGTACAACACTAAGAGGGAACCCTAATGTAAACTATGGACTATAGGTGATAATGATGTGTCAGTGTAGGTTCATCAGTTGCAACCAACTCTACCACTCTGGTGGGGGGTGTCGATAATGTGGGAAGGTATGCATGTCTAGGGAAAGGGAGTAATATGGTAAATCCCTGTTATCTTCTGGTCAATATTACTGTGAACCTAAAACTGCTCTTAAAAATAGCCTGTATAAAAAATTGAATAGATGTAAGTACACTTACCTACACACACAATTTAGTACAAACAAAACTGAGGAAGTTGGAATAAAATTGGTGACTCATACCTATGTCGATATCCTGGTTTTAATATTCTACAGTAGGTTTACGAGACGTTATGACTGGGGAATGAAGTGAGAATTTCTGCCTTTAACATTTTAAATATGAGATGCGTGTTCGACTTTTTTCCTTCTGCTTGGATTTCCTTTGGTTCTAGTTTGATGAATTGTAAATGCTTTAGGTTTAAACAAAAACGTAGCTTAAAGTAATAAAGAGGAGAGAGCCCATTCAGCTTAGAAGCCATGAAGAAAAAATTGAAGCCCAAATAAAGACATACAATTTGGGAAAGAGATAGTACAATGACAAAAGGAAATTGTCCTTCTGAATTCTCCAAGACTGCAAACTCTTGTAAGTAGCAATTTAAGTAGGGAAATGAAAAGGGAAAATAACATTCATTCTTCTTCCCCTCTAGATACCGACTTATTGGTAAGACCTCGATTGCATGCATCATCTCAGACAATACTGTCGTCTGGGATAACAATCCACCTATTTGTGAGAGTGAGTTGAAATATCCTTTCCTATTACCTTTACCAATAGAGTCTAAGTTTTCCCCTAAAGTTCTACAGACCTTAATTGAATTCCTTTTGTGCATTCTATCCCTCGATACCTATGGGGTTTCTGGCAACTGTTTCCTTAGGTTTTTCCTTATCTTGTGCCTTTTCTGAATCTGGAGACTTAAATGCATAAAAGCCTTCAAACTTTAGTTTTCCTTCAATTCATTCAGAATGATGTTGATTGTGCCACCCCCAGCATAACAATCATTCTGCTTGGCAAATCAGTCAAGATTTTTTTAAGGTGAAACTCTCAAAGGTTGGTGAAGTTGTTAATGAATCAACACTTGCACATACTTAGAGTTCCACAAAACCTCTTGGAAGGCACCATGTACCATAAGCCTGAAAATGGGCATGTATATGTTGCCCCACTTCTTGCAACTTATACTTGGGAAATAAACACAGATTTTTACTAGGAGCTCACTATAAACTTTTCATTGCTTCATTCTTTATAATAGCAACAATGTTAAAGTAACCTAAATGTTTCCAACTATGGTTTGGAAAGTACCAGAAAGAAAGAGTCATGTTAAAAATGACTACAGAGAATTCCCTAAGAAACAAAAATAGAGCCATGCAGAATTAGAAGAAATACATCCAGGGGCACCTGGGTGGCTCAGTCTGTTAAGTGTCTGACTCTTGATCTCAGCTCAGATCTTGATCTCAAGGTTGTGAGTTTGAGCGCCATGTTGGGCTCCACATGGGGCGAGGAGCCTACTTAAAAAAGAAGAGGAGGAGGTGGAGGGGAAGGTGGGGGGAGGAAGAGGAGAGGAAGAAAAAGAAGGACAAGGAGAAGAAGAAGAGGAAGAAGAGGAGGAAGGAAAGGAAATGCACCCATACAGTGGAATGTTATTCAGCTAAAGAAGACAAAAACAAACAACATGATGTCATGGAGATGCAATTAATGACATATAAAGATGTTAATTATATACTTTTATGTGAAAAAATTAGATGACAAAACAGTACTCTGGCTGGATCTCTTTAAAGATAATACACCTATACCTATTCCTGTATTTTCATCTTTCTAATTTTGTAATCCCTCCTCTATCTAATCTTCAGTGAATGGCTTCAAGCCTCTTTGGGGAAGGTGGGAGGAAACTTTTGGTACGCATTTTGTCTGTGTAGCAGCCCGCTTTCTCAAGAAGATCCCATCTCCTATTTATTTGAGCTGCCCTGGATCTATATCCTTGGGCCCTCAAGTCCAGGAATTGGTTGATGAATAATCATAAATTTGCTGCTATGATATCATTTGTTTAAAAAAAACATTTAAGAAAAACCATTTCTTGTATATCACAGTGTAATCGTATAACACCCATAAATCAGGTGACAGTATATGTGGGTCTCATTTCAGAGGCGTTCTGTTCCACTGGTGATTTATCACACTGTCTTCATTACCGTAGCATTATATTAAGAGTTGATATCTGGTGGTATAGCCTCTAACCGTGCACTTCTTCCAAGATTTACTTGGTGATTCTTGGCCCTTCGCATTTCCAGATAAAATTGAGAATCAGCCTGTCAGTCTCCACACAAACAATCCTACTCAAATTTGGATTCTATTGACTCAGTAGGTCCATTTGTGGGCCATTACCATATTTCCATTTTTGAGTTTTAAATTCATGAACATGATATATTTCCCCATTTTTGAAATCTTCTTTAATTTCTCTCAATACTATTTGCCACTTTACATTACAGAAAATAATGTAAACATGGAAATGTAACATTGGAGAATATAACATTTCCTAATTGTTTCTTAAATATGCAATCCTTTCACCTTGGATCCAGCGATCTTGCAAAATTTCCTTATAAAGGCAATAGTTTATCCATATATTCTTTTGGATATGCTGCATAATCATGTCATTGATAAATAATTATCCTATGTTTTAATCCTTTTTTTTCTTGTATCTTTCATTTATTTCTCTTGCTTGACTGCATTGGCTAGAACCTCCAGTATAATGTTGGATGGAAGCGATGATAATGAGGTTTTTTATAAGTTTTTATTTATTTGAGAGAGAGAGAGAACACAAGCAGGGGGAGTGGCAGAGGGAGAGGGAGAAGCAGGCTCTCTCCTGAGCAGGGAGCCTGATGTGGGGCTCGATCCCAGGACCCTGGGATCATGACCTGAGCTGAATGAAGGCAGACGCTTAACCGACTGAGCCTCCCAGGCGCCCTTGATAATGAGTTTTTAATAGTCAATATAAAACGTGCTGTTTACTGAAGGTTTTTTGGGAGATATTCTTTATCTGATTAAGGAAATTCCCTTTTATACTTAACTTGCTAAAAGATTTATCCTGAATGTGTATTCTAATTTATCACTGTGGATCTACTGAGATGACCATATCCTGTTTCTCCTTCACCGTGTTAATTTTTGTACTTTTATATGTATCTCAAAAGACATTATTGTTGTTTTTATAAAAATAGTATTTATTTATACTTATCCACATGTTAACTATTTCCGTTATACGTCCTCCATAATTGCAGTTCTATCAGTTCTTTATAACACTATTTTCCTTCAATCTAAAAAAATGATCTTTTAGCATTTTTGTATTGTAGGTCCTCTGGCGATAGATTCTTTAAACATTTTTCTAAGTATGGCTTCTTTAAAAGTTATCATCTCTTTTTCTGGCTGCTTTTCCCAAATTGATTACTGTTGGATTTTTTACAATAATACTATGATGTGCCTGGGTAAAGTTTTTTTTGTTTGTTTGTTTGTTTTTGTATTTGTATTGCTCGAGTTTGTATGGTTTCTTGAATCCGTGGTTCAACGATGTCTTTCATCGGTTTTGGAAAATTTTCAGTCATTACTTCAAATGTTCATGCTCAGATTTCTCTCTCTGCTCATTGTAGGAATTCACTTACACATGTGGTAGGCCTTGTCCTTCTATCCTGTAAGTCTATTACTATTTTTGCTGTATTTCTGATTCTTTTGTCTCTCTGTGTTTTATTCTGGGTATTTCCTTCTGTCTTAGCTCCAATTCATTGATTTTTATTAAACTGTGTCTGACCTGCTGTTAATTCTATCAGGTTCTTAATTTCAGTAACTGTACTTTACAATGATAAGAACTTGTATTTGGTTCCTTTCAAAATTTGCCCTGTTGTTTTTAATTGTTTCTAGTTCTCACCAAAAATTTAGTTTTTGTATATTTTGTCCTTGAAGAGAGAAACATAACTCCCTCTCCCACTCCCCCTGCTTGTGTTTCCTCTCTCGCTTGTGTCTCTCTCTGTCAAATAAATAAATGAAATCTTTAAAAAAAAATCTATTTTAAATCTATGAGCAAAAACTCCAATATCTGGGGCCCTGATGGTTCAGTTTCTATTGTCAGTGATTCTGCTGGCTCTTCTTCATGTGATTTTATCTCTTTTGAGTACCGTGTGATCCTTTGTTGTATGTGTGGAATTTTATTGGAAAACCTTTCTGCAGAAATGAATTCAAGGTCTTAGATGACGAACCTTCTTCAGAAAGGATTCTTGTTGTTATTTCTTCAGAAACTTGGGGACACACGCAATGTGGGACCACTTTCATTCAGTTTCAGACACTGTTATTTTTCCGGGCCACCTACAGTACTTGCAGAACAACTGCAGTAATCTTGAGTCCCAGGCCCCATGGCTTTGAGGTCCCAGGATGCATCCGAAGGTGTTAGCACAGCTTCCACATTGCAAGACCTGGACTCCAGTTTTTGTTCCTTGACTCCATGAGATGATCAAAAGTCTACTCACCACTCAGATGCCCCCTCCTGGTTCAGCTCACCTTCCAGCGGAAAAGCAGCCTACATGCCTGACTCTCACCTGGATTTTTATCTCCTGTCAGATCATGGTCCAGTAATGCCTCCCTAGTTTATTAGCTTTCTAATGCACTCACAGATACATTTTATAATTTATCTAGCATCTATAGTCTTTCTTGGGGGGGAGGAAATGGAGGTAGACTGATGTCTGATTTAAATTATTAAGATTACCCTTACCGGAAGGAGAAGCCTCCTTAAGAATTTTTATTTTCATTTATTGTTTTAAAGATCGATTTTTTCTTGTTTTATTATTTTTTTAAAGATTTGATTTATTTATTTGACAGAGAGAGACAGCAAGAGAGGGAACACAAGCAGGGGGAGTGGGAGAGGGAGAAGCAGGCTTCCCGCGGAGCAGGGAGCCTGACGCGGGGATCGATCCCAGGACCCGGGGATCACGACCCCAGCCGAAGGCAGACGTTTAATGACTGACCACCCAGGTGCCCCTGATTGATTTACTTCTTAAGGAGACAGCGAGTGGGGGTGGAAAGAGAGTGCGGAGGGAGAGAGAATCCTCAAGCAGACTCCCCGCTGAGCACGGAGCACAACGTGGGGTTCAATCCCAGGACCCTGAGATCATGACCCAAGTGGAAACCCAGAGTTGGATGCTTAGCCGGCTGAGTCACCCAGGAGCCCCAAGAAATCTTATTTTTAATTTCAAGTGTTTTGGAGTTTTAGATAAAGTTACTTAGTACTAGTTATATAGCATTATAGTAATATAGTGTGCTATGTCCTCCTTCTACATTTTCAAAAGTATTGAGGGTGTTTTATGGACTAATATATGATCACTTCTACATGGGTATTACGTTGTGATATCAAACATCAGCTTGATAAAATGAGTTGGTAAGTTTTCTGTCTTCTACATCTCGTGAAACATTTGAAATTTCATTTGGAAGTGTGTATTACCTGGAAGTGACTTGATAGAATTTTATGTAAAAGATTTTTTCTATTCCGACAAGTTTCTTTGTCCATTCTAGCTTTCTATATTTTCTTGAATGAATATTGGTAATTTCTATTTCCATTCATATCATTTAGATTTTCAAAATGTTTAACATTACGTATATAATCTACAGTTTCATATAATTTTCTTATACATATGCAAATATGTTTGAATTCTATTTCCTACTCTAGTGTATCTGTGTTGTTTCTCTCCCCTTCCATTTTTCTTTTAGCAAGGATCTTTTTATCTTTTGAAAGCTATCCTGAGCTAATAACAAAATGGAAATTAAGAAGGCAAATGGAAAAGAGTAGGGGAAAACTGTGTGCACTATGGGTGTGATAATATGATCAAAGAGCTATCTAAGATGAAAGGAATGGGGATTGTTTTTAAAAAAAGCATATGCTTATAGGAAATAATATAAGTAGGAAAGGCAGAGGGCATGCTATTATGGCCACCAAAATCACAACCTTGTAAAAATGTGTCTGCATGTTAACAAAGATTAAAAACCAATAACAAATGTAAAAATAGTGATGCTCATTGTATTTCTCTGACTAGTTATTTTGACTCACTATTATTTAAGTTGCCATCTCTTTTCCCAGCTATTCCTTGTGGGCCACCCCCAGCCATCGCCAATGGAGATTTCTTTAGCACCAACAGAGAATTTTTTCCTTATGGAACCGTGGTGAACTATCGCTGCCATCTTGGACAGAGAGGGAAAAAGCTGTTTGAGCTTGTGGGCAACTCATCAATATACTGCACCAGCAAAGACAATCGCGTTGGCATATGGAGCAGCGCCCCCCCTCAGTGCATCATACCTAATAAATGCACACCTCCAGACATTGAAAATGCAATAAGGGCATCTGAGAACAAAACCTTATTTTCCTTACATGAATTTGTGAGGTTTATCTGTAAGCCCGGCTTTGTCATTAAAGGACCCTCCAGTGTGCAATGCCAAGCCCAAAACAAATGGGGGCCAGAGTTGCCAAGCTGCTCTAGGGGTGAGTCTGACTGAGGCTTTGAAGGGACCAACAAAGGGCATGGGTTGCAAGAGGATCAGGAGATCAGTGTTTGTTCTGGGAGAAGAATGCATGGTGATCCGTGCAGTCAATGTGGGGGGATGAAGCATGAAATTAAGAAAGTGTGTGTGTATGTGTGTGTGTGTACACATGCGCGTGAGTGTGCACTTAAGTATATGTGCCTTCATTTTGAAAGCAGGAGCTTAATCAATCAAGGAAGGAGACATTTGGGACTCTTATACTGAGCAATCCTCAGGGCAAAATACCAGCTTCAGTATCTCTCAGATATCCTGAAAACTGAGGTGCACTCTTTAGTCAGCTGGGCAATAAGCACTCTAAATGACTTATCTCATTTACTCTTCATGGAAATGCTTTACAATAGGGCTAATAATTCCATATTGACAGCCAGCACTAAAGAAAGCACCCCCGGGGGCCTGGCCATACATTTGACCTAGTGCCGGGAAGAACTCAGTTTGAATTATCGGCCTCTTACTAGTTGTGAGGCCTTTGGCTACCTCCCTTCCGTATTCTGAACTTCCATAACAGTAAAAGGAGGGGCGGGAGTATCATTTGGTTTCCTTTGTTACACCTGAACTCCCCTTGAATGATGAATCTATAACTCCTCGGAAGGGTTAGAATGTAGCAAAAGACACTTCCCCATAACTGTCTGGTACTTGGCACCTGTTCTCTCTGCAGTATGTCAGCCGCCTCCAGAAATTGTGCACGGTAAGCGTGCCGCAGGCAATGAGGCCAATTTCTTCCCCGGGCACGAAGTGTTCTACAGCTGCGAGCCCGGCTATGATCTCCGAGGGGCTGCTTCTCTGCGCTGCACTCCCCAGGGAGACTGGAGCCCAGCAGTCCCGAGATGTGCAGGTGCCTCCACTTTCATCTGTTTGCAGATCCATCTTTTTGGTCCTCACATGGCAGTCTTACTTCTGTTTTCCTTGTTGTGGTGGTTTTCCTAGTGAAATCATGTGCGGACTTCCTGGACCAACTCCCTAATGGCCGTGTGCTCTTTCCACTGAATTTCCAGCTTGGGGCAAAAGTGTCCTTCGTTTGCGATGAGGGGTGAGTGTGACCTGGCAGAGAGACAGGGGACTCAGTACTCCATGCTGATATGCTGACACGGTGGGCAGTGGGGGTCTATCCAAAGAATAAGCTGCCTAATGGAAAAGAAGTACCAAAAAGACTAGTATCTGAAACAGTGATTGGGAAGTATGGTAGGAACCGGATAGAACCATCAACAGGTGCTTGGAAAGGAAAAACGCTAAACACACTGTTGAACAGCAGAGGTATAACAACAGATCATGAATATTTAGGTGAAACATTACATGTGAATGAAAAGTAATTTGTAGGCATGCATGAAGGGATGAATATTGCAGAGCGGTTGTTAAAAAAGAAGGTTGGTATGTCAAAGAAAGTTATTTATAAAATAAGTCATACGCACGAGTGTTTCAAAAAACAATTTTAAACCAATCAATAGTGGAATTTGGAATAGGAACGAAAGTGTAAATAGGAGTATTTTTCAATCCAATTTTATGTCATCTAATTAGAATTAGTCTGTGTTGAAGGAACATGAAGACTGATGCTCATGTTTCCAGTAATGTCATGAATTTTTTTTTATTATGTTCAATTGGCCAACATATAATACTTCATTAGCTTTTGATGTAGTGTTCAACGATTCATTAGTTGCATATAACACCCAGTGCTCATCACCACACCTGCCCTCCTTAATACCCATCACCCAGTTACCCTATCCCCCTACTGCACTCCCTTCTGTAGCCCTCAGTTTGGTTCCCAGAGTCCAGAGTCTCTCATGGTTTGTCTCCCTCTCTGATTTCTTCCCATTCAGTTTTCCCTCCCTTCCCCTGTGGGCCTCCACACTATTCCTTATGTTCCACATATGAGTGAAACCATATGATAATTGTCTTTCTCTGTTTGACTGATTTTACCTAGCATAATCCCCTCCAGTTCCCTCCATGTGGATGCAAATGGTAGGTATTCATCCTTTCTAATGGCTGAGTAATATTCCATTGTATATATGAACCACATCTTCTTTATCCATTCATCTGTTGAAGGGCATCTCGGCTCCTGCCACAATTTGGCTATTATGGACATTGCTGCTATGAACATTGGGGTGCGTGTGACCCTTCTTTTCACTACATCTGTTTCTTTGGGGTAAATACCCAGTAGTGCAATTGTTGGGCCATAGGGTAGCTCTATTTTTAACATCCTGAGGAACCGCCATACTGTTTTCCAGAGTGGCTGCACCAGTTTGCATTCCCACCAACAAGGTAAGAGGGTTCCCCTTTCTCCACATCCTGCCAATACTTGTTGTTTCCTGTCTTGTTAATTTTTGCCATTCTGACTGGTGTAAGGTGGTATCTCAATGTGGTTTTGATTTGTATTTCCCTGATGGCTACTAATGTTGAACATTTATTCTTGTGTCTGTTAGACATTTGTATGTCTTCTTTGGAGAAGTGTCTGTTCATGTCTTCTGCCCGTTTATTGACTGGATTATTTGTTTTTTGGGTGTTGAGTTTGATAAGTTCTTTATAAATCTTGGGTACAAGCCCTTTATCTGTAATGTCATTTGCAAATCTCTTCTCCCATTCTGTCAGTTGCCTCTTAGTTTTGTTGATTGTTTCCTTTGTGTGCAAAAGCTTTTAATCTTGATGAAATCCCAAAAGTTCATTTTTGCTTTTATTTCCCTTGCCATTAGCGATATGTCTTGAAAGAAGCAGCCATGGCCAATGTCAAAGAGGTTACTGCTTTTGTTCTCCTCTAGGATTTTGATGGATTCCTGTCTCACATTTAGGTCTTTCATCCATTTTGAGTTTATCTTTGTGTATGGTGTAAGAAAATGGTCCAGTTTCATTCTTCTGCATGTGGCTGTCCAATTTTCCCAGCACCATTTATTGAAGAGACTGTCTTCTTTCCATTGGATATTCTTTCCTGATCTGTTGAAGATTAGTTGACCATAGAGTTGAGGGTCAATTTCTGGGATCTCTATTCTTTTCCATTGATCTATGCGTCTGTTTTTATGCCAATACCATGCTGTCTTGATGATCACAGCTTTGTAATATAGCTTGAAATCAGACATTGTGCTGCCCCCAGCTTTGGTTTTCTTTTTCAACAATCCCCTGGTGATTCGGGGTCTTTTCTGGTTCCATACAAATTCTAGGATTGTTTGTTTCAGTTCTGTGAAAAATGTCGATGGTAATTTGATAGGGATTGCTTTGAAAGTGTAGATTGCTCTGGGCAGCATGGACATTTTCACAATGTTTATTCTTCCAATCCATGAGCTTGGAATGTTTTTCCATCTCTTTGTGTCTTCCTCAATTTCTTTCATAAGTGTTCTGTAGTTTCTAGAGTATAGATCTTTTACCTCTTTGGTTAGGTTTATTCCTAGGTATCTTATGGTTTTTGGTGTTATTTTAAATGGAATCGATTCCTTAATTTCTCTTTCTTCAGTCACATTGTTAGTGTATAGAAATGCAACTGATTTCTGTGCATTGATTTTGTATCCTGCCATGTTGCTGAATTGCTGTATGAGTTCTAATAATTTGGCGGTGGAGTCTATCGGGTTTTTCCACATAAAGTATCATGTCATCTGTGAAGAGAGATAGTTTGACTTCTTCTTTGCCAATTTCAATGCCTTTCATTTCTTTTTGTTGTCTGATTGCTGTTGCTAGGACTTCTAGTACTATGTTGAACAAAAGTGGTGAGAGTGGGCATCCCTGTCGTGTTCCTGACGTTAAGGGAAAAGCTCTCGGGTTTTCCCCATTGATAATGATATTTGCTGTGGGCTTTTTATAGATGGCTTTTATGATATTGAGGTATGTTCCCTCCATCCGTATATTTTGAAGAGTTTTAATCAGGAAAGGATGCTGTATTTTGTTGAATGTTTTTTCTGCATCAATTGAGAGGATCATATGGTTCTTGTCTCTTCTTTTGTTAATGTGATCAATCACGTTGATTGATTTGCAAATGTTGAACCACCCTTGCATCCCAGGAATAAACCCCACCTGGTCACGGTGAATAATCCTTTTAATGTACTGTTGGATCCTAACGGCTAGGATCTTGTTGAGTATTTGGGCATCCATGCTCATCAGGGATATTGGTCTGTAATTCTCCTTTTTGATGAGGTCTTTGTCTGGTTTTGGGATCATGGTAACGCTGGCCTCATAAAATGAGTTTGAAAGTTTTACTTCTATTTCTATTTTTTGGAACAGCTTCAGTAGAATAGGCATGATTTCTTCTTTAAATGTTTGGTGGAATTCCCCTGGGAAGCCATCTGGCCCTAGACTCTTGTTTTTTAGGAGGTTTTTGATTACTGTTTCAATTTCCTTGCTGGCTATTGGTCTGTTCAGATTGTCTATTTTTTCCTGTTTCAGCCTTGGTAGTTTATAAGTGTCCAGGAATGCATCCATTTCTTCCAGATTGCCTAGTTTGTTGGCATATAGCTGCTGGTAATAAGTTCTAATAATTGTCTCTATTTCCTTGGTATTGGTTGTGATTTCTCCCCTTTCATTCATGATTTTATTAATTTGGGTCCATTCTCTTTTCTTTTGAATAAGTCTGGCCAGAGGTTTATTTATCTTTTTAATTCTTTCGAAGAACCAGCTTCTAATTTTGTTGATCTGTTCTACTGTTCTTCTAGTTTCTATTTCATTGATTTCTGCTCTAATCTTTATTATTTCTATTCTCCTGCTTGGTTTAGGCTTTATTTGCTGTTCTTTCTCCATATCCTTTAGGTATAAGCTTAGCTTGTGCATTTGGGATTTTTCTGATTTTTTGAGAGAGGCTTGGATGGCTATGTACTTCCCTCTGAGGACTGCCTTTGCAGTATCCCGTAGGTTCTGAACCAATGTGTTTTCATTTTCATTGGTTTGCATGATTTGTTTTAAGTTCCTCTTTAATTTCCTGGTTGACCCATTCATTCTTTAGCAGGATGCTTTTTAACCTCCAAGTGTTTGCATTCCTTCCAAATTTTCCCTTGTGGTTGAGTTCCAGTTTCAATGCATTGTGGTCTGAAGATATGCAGGGAATAATCTCAATCTTTTGTTATTGGTTGAGACCTCATTTGTGACCCAGTATGTGATCTATTCTGGAGAAGGTTCCATGTGCACTCGAGAAGAATGAGTATTCTTTTGTTTTAGGATGGAATGTTCTCTATATATCTACAAAGTTCATTTGGTCCAATGTGTCCTTCAAAGCTCTTGTTTCTTTGTTGATCTTTGGCTTAGATGATCTTTCTAATGCTGTGAGTGGAGTGTTGAACTCTCCTACTACTAAGGTATTATTATCAATATGATTCTTTATTTTGGTTAAAAGTTGGTTTATGTAGTTGGCTGCTCCCACGTTGGGGGCATAGATAATTACAATTATTATATTTCTTTGTTGGCTAGACCCTTTAAATATGATATAGGGTCCTTCTACATCTCTTCCTACAGTGTTTGGCTTAAAATCTACTTTGTCTGATATGAGAATTGCTACCCCAGCTCTCTTTTGAGGTCCACTAGCATAATAAATGGTTCTCCATGCCCTTACTTTCAATCTGGAGGTGTCTTTAGGTCAAAATGAGTCTTTTGTAGATAGCATATGGATGGGTCCTGCTTTTTTATCCAATCTGAAACCCTGTGCTTTTTGATGGGAGCATTCAGCCCATTCACATTGAGAATAACTATTGAAAGATATGAATTTAGTGTCATCGTATTGCCTCTAAAGTCCCCGTTTCTATAGATTATCTCTGTTAACTTCTGGTCTACATTACTCTTGAGGTCTTTCTTCTTTTATAGAATCCCCGTTAATATTTCTTGCAGGGCTGGCTTGGTGGTCACATATTCTTTCAGTTTCTGCCAGTCCTGGATGCTCTTTATCTCTCCGTCCATTCTGAATGACAGCCTTGCTGGACAAAGTATTCTTGGCTGCATGTTCTTCTCATTTACTACCCTGAATATGTCTTGCCAGCCCTTTACAGCTTGCCAGGTCTCTGTGGATAGGTCTGATGTTATTCTGATGTTCCTCCCTCCATATGTAAGAAATCTCTTTCCCCTAGCTATTCTCAGGATAGCTTCCTTGGCTCTAAGATTTGCAAGCTTCACTATTATATGTTGGGGCATTGATCTATTTTTATTGATTTTGGGAGGGGTCCTCCCTGCCTCTTGGACACGAATGCCTGTTTCCTTCCCCAGATTAGGGAAGTTCTCAGCTATGATTTGCTCAAATATACCTTCTAGTCCTCTCTCTCTCTTTCTCTCTCTCTCCACCCCCTCAGGGATCCCAATAATTCTGACATTGGAACATTTCATGGCATCATTGTCTAAGTCTGTTCCAATGGGCTACTAGCTGCCTATCTCTATCTTCCTCAGCTTCCTTCCTTTCCTAGATCACTAATTTGTTCTTCTGCTTCATTTACCTTGACTGTTAGAGTATCCAGGTTAGACTGCATCTCATTCATTGCATTTTTAAGTTCAGCCTGATTAGATCTCATTTCTGCCCTCACAGATTCTATATTGTCACTGATGCTTTTCTCAAGCCCAGCTATTGACTTCATGATTTCTACCCTGAAGTCTATCTCTGACTTCTTGCCTGTATCCGTATCCATTAGATCTGTGGCAGAGGACACTGTCTCTGGTTCTTTTCTTTGTTGGGAGCTCCTCCTTGTCATTCTGTTGAGGGATGTTTGAGGGAATGTACAGAGTCCAAAATATCAATCACGACCCCCAAGCAAAATGCACCTTAGAAAAAATACGAAGTGGTCAAAAGCTACCACAGATACACCACCAAAGCCAAGATGATCCAAAACAATAAAAAAGAAAGAGAAAAGAAAGAGGGGAAAAAAAGAGCAGGGGCAGGGTGAGCGATTATAATCTCTCAGGGTGGAACAGCAGGGTGATCTGCTCATTCCTGCTTGATTTTTGGTCTTTGTGTTAGAAGACACTATATCCCAAAATTGTAAAGAAATCAGAACTTACATATATATCAAGATAAAATTGAATAGAGTGAAAAACGGGCTAGTATGGGGCATAAATCTATAAAACATATATGTGAAAAAAAAAGTTAAGAAACAACTTAAAAACATAGGTTGGGAAATAAGAATCTATTTGAAACAGGGGCAGGGTTAGTAAAAAAAAAAAAAAAAAGAATAAAAGAAACTAAAAAAGAAATGTAAAATTTTAGCCTGAAGTATAAGCGAGTTGTGAGGGAACACCTGGAGCTCCCTATATTATTTTCTCCTGGCCCTGAAGTTTTACAGTCTTGTGCGAAATAAGCTTATCATTTACCTGTTCTTCCAGTCTGTCTTCTGGGGGAGGGGCCTGCTGCTCAGCTCCCCAGCCTTCTTTGCCTGGTGGATTTACCCCACCCCTTGTCAGGGGGATGGGCTTAATGTGAGCTGGTTGGCTGCATGGCTTTGGTTCCCTGGCGTCTTTCTGCTTCTCTGCTTCTCCTTAGAGGGTCAGAGCATACGTGGCCGTGGGGTAATTTCTGGCCCAGTGCCACAATGTCGTGGTCCCCCCTGCCTCAACAAATACTCCGGATCAATCCGTCTCCACCTGGGCATGTCCCAAACTCCACAGACTCATGCAATTCGTGCCCACAGCACCTCTCCCAGGGGAGTCACAGGGAACCTCGAGCTCCTCAGTGCTTTGTGACTCCTCAACTGCCAGTGGCCCTGGGCTCGCACGTGCACCCTCCTCCACAGCTCCTAGGTCACGCTGGGTGCCGCCCCACCATCTCCTCGTGGGCCACACTGCCCTGAGAGCTGTCCTTGTCATGGGCACAAGCCATTCTATATCTCCCCTAAGATGTTAGACAGCCCGCACCTTCTAGTCCTTTTCAGGGTGCTTAGGCAGGGGGTGGTCTCCCTACCGGCTCAGCTCATAGTTTATGGTGCCTGGAGCAAAAAGTCCCCTCTGGGCTCCCTGACCATAACCAGTGTCCTCACTCCACTGTTTGGGCACTCTATTGGTTTGGGCTCCCCCATTCTTTCTGAGTCTCCTGGAATCCTGAGACCACAGTGATCCACCTAGAATTCTGCCCTATTCGCCCCCTGTGCCCTTTTCAGAAGGGGATGCCTTTCACTAGAGTAGATTTCCAAGGGTCCCGATTTTTTTGCTCTGGTGTTATATCACTTTCCGGCGACTGGCTTTTGGAGGCTTCCTCCCCCTCTGCTTATCTTAGGATATTTCCCCCAAGGATTGTTCTGCACCTCCTACCTTGTAAAAAGTAGTCATTTTTCTGCTTGTGGAGATCCAGATAAATCTTCTTACATCTCAGTTGAATTCGTGTGTGTTCAGAATGGTTTGATAGCTATCCAGCTAAATTCAAGGGACCAGATGAAACGAGGTCCATTACTCTGCCACCATCTTGCCCCCCTCTGTCATGAACTGTTTATGGGAATCTTAATGACCTTGGTATTATGTTCCAACACACATCCGAAGTGAAGATCAACAAAGGGGCAAAGATTAGGTAATTTTAGAGGCAAAATTAAAAATCACGGATGACAAAATGGCCAACAGACACATGAAAAAGTGCTCAACATCGCTCGGCATCAGGGAAATCCAAATCAAAACCTCAATGAGATACCACCTCACACCTGTCAGAATGGC